TATGTTTTAAGAGATTTAATAAACAATCAGTCAAATTTTTTCAAATATATTTCTGTGAATTGAAAATTTAATCAAATTTGGGTTTTTGGAACTAAACGTTAACTCATCGGCAACATCAGGAGTATGCGGAAATAATATTGAATTTGAAAAATGATTGTGTTAAGTAACATTATTTCGATAATTCCGATGGTTCGAAAGACCTCCAATCACATCACCGATCGAAGTTGATAATGAGAAGGGAAGAGCCGAGGAGATTGTGCGGCAGATTAATGACGGTCAAAGTAAAGTGAATCAGGTTTGTGCCACAATTGAAAGATGGAATTTGCCTTCAGAGTTGGAAAACAAGAAAGAAAACACTCAAAAAATTCTCTTTTTTCTTCTCGTTTATTTTCTTTTCTTTTCTTTTCTTTTAATTTGTTGGAAGTCTTTGCAGCCGCCGCTTGCGGTTCAACAAACCGCAATGGAAATGGTGTTTTTTGCGTAAATGGAGCAGCCTTCTGTAACTGAAAAACGTGAATATATCTCGAGTGTTCAGTGCAATGTTTGTGGTTTCATCTTAGTGAATTTTTACTGAAATAAAATTAGAAATGAACGTCCGCTAATAAGACATGTAAAAAAAACATTTCAATGTTCATTTTTTGGCCAAGAATAGAAAAAGTTTCTAAAGATTGGTCTTTCGAAGCTACAATAGAATCAACATAAGCAAACTTTACGTCAAAAGCAAAAAGTTCGGCATGCAACCTTACTCTAGTTCGATTTCGATACTGATAATTTTCTGAACTCTTAAGTAGTTTCAGTCCAACATCGGTTTGAATCATTTTCAAATATATAAATTCTATATTTTCCAGAGCTATAAATCATAATATATAAATTCTAATATCTAAATTCTAATATCTAAACTCTTGTTCAAACATAAAATATTTAAGTCGCTCTGCTTACGGAACGATCCACTCCTTCGGACCCGTTGATGTCACAAGCCAGCGGCCCATCGCCAAACCTTGCCACCAGTCAGATGAGCCCCGATATTTTGTGTAATCCATCAAATTTCAGGTATGATAAACAGAAAATAGCTTAAATTGTATTTAATACAGAAATATGTACCATACTTTGCTCCTAGAAGTCGAAAATATTGATTGTTTTTAAGCTAATACAATGGAATTGTGTTTGGAGGGATCTGCTGTGAATGGCGTTGAAAAGGGTTGTTTGGTGATGAAATGATGTTTTGTGCCAAGGTTTCAAAGTCTTGGCATCGCTCTCAATTTCAACCATTGACAAGTCAGTCAATGTCAAGTTTCACGTCTTAAAACCAGGAATTGGTGGCAAGGCAAAAATCAAAACTATTGCAAGAAAATCAAACTTTTATGTGTGAAATACATGGCACAGAGTACTCTAATCGAAGTTCAACTTCATAACTTTCCAGGAGGTCCACACAAGGTTCACTTCCAATGCACCTAAAAAAATTTTTCAAAAGTCATTTTTTTACACCTCAATATATTGTTAGAATCAGGTATTGTCGGAATACTTTCCAACAGTGAAGTAACTGTAAGTTTTTCAAATTGAATGCGGAATGTTTGATTTTACAAACTCAAACCCTCGCGACCATCTCAGGCGTTAGTGGAAAGATTTCTGACAAAATTGAGTCAATTATTAGTCAATACATTTCCAACAACTTTAGAAAATTTAGAAAATCTTCAGTAGTAGGCAACCCTGCATAGTTTACTATCGAAATTTAACGAGGATTTACCTTTACTCGTTAACGAGGATTTACTACATAAGAATTTACCACAAACACACTGTATAAAAATGAATTGAACCTAATACACTTTCGAGACGGTGAACTCATAAACCCATAACCATAAACTAGTGTCTCTTGCTAAAGTTATTCAAACTCAGTCTCATTTTATCCTATCACACACTAAGTTTCTCAAACTCGAAAGAGATAAAGTTTGACTTGTCAAACTTGACGTTCACGTAAATTGTCAAAAGGTATCAAAGTCCCAAAACTTCCCCAAACCACTTTTCAAACCAATCAGCAATTCGGTCATTTAACTTTTAAATGATCCAATAATTTAGTGGAAATAGTCGAAGCGCCATAGTTTACAGCTTGTTTTAAACTATAATATCGGTCAAATCAGAACGCCCAGACTTTCTTTCTTTTTCGCCGGAACGATCCCTGGTGCCATCCAAAAAACTTCATTGAAGAAATTGATGAGGCTTTCTTTCAATTCATAATTGAAAAAACACTCGAAGAAGAAAATAAATAAGGCTATTGGCTATAAACCTATCCAAATCAAAATGTTTTAAAGATAATAAAATAAAATTGTGTTTTGGGTAGTTTTCGGTGAATTTTGGGTAAAAAGCGTTGATTTAGAAAACAGAAGATGTGATCTTCGATTTTTGTTGAGAGGTCATATTCAACTTAGATTCAGCGAGGAAAGCAACTATATTCCGAAAGAAAAGGAACTATATTAAGAATAACGATATTTAGAGAATACAAGAACTATTTTGAGAGGGCAAAAGAACTATATTCAGAGGGGTTACAAACAGTCCAAAAAACTCGAACTAAGAATGCCTTATCTTTTTGCTGATAAAGTCTCTTTTAGCTTAGACAAGACCTCTCAGCTGACGTTTTTGTCCACCGCTAAATTTGGGTTTTCAGCTCTCGAGGGTCGAGACGCTTATCAAATCGAGCTTTCGTTTAAATACAAAGATCTCTATCAGTTCCCAGCTTCAAACCCAAACCATGCCTCTTCTCTCCTTTTGCCTTGCTTTGCTCTTCGCGGTTCTCCTCGTCTTCAGTGGGTTTAAGTTTAAATAAATGAATCTTCTCAGAGTAGCCTCCGGTTAGAAATGAAATCGAGTTTTCAAAAAAAAAAAATCGAGTTTTCATTCAGGTATCTCAATTCTCGTCATCATACTGCTTAAAGTTTTTGACTTTTTAAAAAGATGGCCCAAAGATGGCCTCAAAAATCAAAACACATCAAAGTTTTTAGGCTCTGCTTCCATGGTGAACGCTGTGGCCGTCCCTGACTCCTCTTGGACTCCTCTTGGATTCGGAATTTCTCTTTATGAAACTTCCCAATGTAAAACTTCTACCCAAATATGAAAAGGATTTCTCGACATCGTTCTCTAGAAAAATTTGACATTCAATTTTTTCAGGAATGCTTCATGCTTGACTTCGATGATTGACGAATCATGAGAAGACCAAAGCTTCAATCCGCAACACGAAGTGATGCATTCAAAGGATGGTGGGGATCGAAATCCAAGTAAAATCGTGGTGACTCAGGAAATTTCTTGGTGCAATTGTAATCCAAAACTATTCAACAAAAAACAAAACAAAACAATTCCTTTGCGTCCTTTTTTTCTGGAACCTCCTTTCAGTTGGAGTTCCAGAACTCCAACTTTAGATCGTAGCACAATTTCTCCATTGGGAACGTCTTGAGATTCAGCATCGAGAACGAAAGAAACGCATCTTCACCGGATCCATTCTCATCTTGATTCAACTTCTTCATCGGAAATGGCGGAGTTGATCCATCAATCGTTCCATTTTCTTCTCCATTTCGATCCTCATTTCCCTTTTCAATTTGTCATCGCCATCGCCAATTGACAATCTGCCATTTTATACCTGAAATATAAAAGATTAGACTTTTCGTGAAATTTTGATAATAAAACAATTTCAAAACTAGCGCTTGCACGAAACTCATCATTTCTAATGAGAAAAATTTCTCGATATCGATAAACGTTTCCAAGAATTTCACATTTAACCGCTCTTAACTAGCTAAAAGTATAGAAGTCCCGCGAATTCACGACAAAATTCCATCTTTCTCAATAAAATTCCAAACTTTATTTGTAACAAATGCAAGAATAACCAAGGAAACAAGAAAACAATGAAACGTGACAACAAACAATCAATTCTACAACAATAACGGGTACTTTGAAGGTCAATGGGATTGAAAAGGATTATCTGGAATGTAATGAGAATGACCAAGTTTAGCTGAGCTAATTGCTAACACCATTATCCGTAAAGTCCCTCGAAAACATAATGATTTAACGTGTAACAGAATCGTTAAAAAGTGATCACTCCATTGAGATGAAAAAGGCGAAAAAGCTAACGCACTGAGGCCGAATTATCCGGGGGATTCAAGGTTGAAGAAATCGGCAAATCGAAGCATGTAAAAGCCGTTTTTCGCTGAACCCATTCGATGACAAAAACTTTCAGATTTCCGTTCTGTTGTTACAAGTTTTTGTACTTGTAGTGGAAGGGGAGGAGGCCCTTTCACTTGAGAGATCAAACTATACGTCAGCCCCAAAACACCCAGCCAGAAAAACCCGTTGTTAGGCAGATTTTTCGGCTGGTAGAAAGACAGTCAGCTTGGTCAGTCATAAAGACAGTTTGGAAAACTAAACAGTCAAAAAGATGAACTTTACCTTAAAATCCTATCAAAATAGAATCACTATCGTCGAGTTGTTTTCATCGTTTCCGCAAATCATTTAAATTCTAGCTACTGTTGTCTGTCTGAAATGAAAAGGCGCAAGTAATCTCAGAACGCAAGTAGTATCTTTCAAATGCAAGTAATCTCAGAACTTCACACAAGAATCAGGAAAGCCTTCATGTCACTAAAAGCATCAAATCTCAAATAAAATTCTTCACTTTATTGCCAAAATAGCTCAAAGTAACAAAAATTAACACTAGTTTAAAGACAAATTACCACAAACAAGAAAATTTTAGCAAAACAAAAGCAAACAAATAGTAAGAATCATAGATTTCTTCCAAAAATAAAAAAAACTACAAAAATGGACCTGGTATCCTTAAAAACCCGTAAAATGTAGAAATGGAAAGATTTCGTTTTGAAAAATCTGGCAAAGCTTTAGGCTAATCAATTGAAAGCTGAATCTGTATAAAATTTCACAAAAACTTGCTAAATTTAAACGAAATTTGACTCAAAACGGAATCTATACCCCAAAAGAAACCAAATAAAAATTGAACGTAAAAGTATCTATTGCTTTAGCTCATTCATTCGTTTGTTTATTTCGTGTAGAGTTGGACCCGCAGCATTCTGCTCATCGTTGAGAATCCATCGTGGACCGTATGGAGTATCGCCATCTGAAAGGAAAAACGTTAAAAGGGGATTGTTTTATCATTTACCTCCAACCTCCAATGCTCCAAGTCTAGTAACGAGCACTTTAACAAGAATAACCTCAGAAAAGCACTCACATTTTGCTCTCCAATTCCAGAACATTCGATAATGCGGCCGCTTCGCTGTCACCAGTGTGTCCCAAAATGTCGTCAAACAACCCGAGTGCTCGAATCGATCCGAGAACACGGAAATACGGGTGTCCTAAACAAAATGATGCGTGGAAATTTGAGAAGAATCCCCCGAGGGCTTCTTTTGAATTCTCATGCAATACTAACCGATTCACCGACTTCAAATTGTTCAGAAGTGTATATTTCCCGTTGAATTGATGATCGATCAGAAACAACAATTCGCCGCACGATCGAATCCTCTTAACGAAAGAAAAGTGAGAAAAAAGACGTTCGACATTGAGCTCCATTGCATTTGAATTGGAAAACTTGTTGATCAAAATCCTCTCATTTTCGAATTCAATCTGATAGACGTGCTCTCCAAAAATGATCGAAGGATCCCTGACGAGCATCCCTCTTATTTTCGTTTAGTTCCAAAAACCCAAATTTGATTAAATTTTCAATTCACAGAAATATATTTGAAAAAATTTGACTGATTGTTTATTAAATCTCTTAAAACATAAGTAGATGATTTAACTTGAGTGTTTTCAGGTGAATGTATGCTCAATTTTCTGAAAAGAAACTAAACATATCAGACTCTCATAGTATAGTAAGTAGCCATCGATCATTCTTTAGGCACACATTAGCTACGTTAACAAACGCAGTTAAATATAATGAAAATCCAAAAAATTTTGTCCTAACATGGCTAAATTCAAAATTTAATTAAACAGCTGTGGTTTGTTTTAATTAAGATCAGACTCTCATAGTATAGTAAGTTAATGAAGCAGTTGATACGCCGTTTAAAGTCGCAAGGTTTTCATTTGAAGGTTTAAAGTGAAGGCTGAAGCTAAAAATTTATTTATTCAATATCTCCGGCTGCATCAACAATCCCTATGGCCCCAGAGGATCTCGGTATTTTGGAGCACAAACCAAAAAATAGCTGCAATAAAACCCTTTACAACACTTTAAATCAGGACAGGACGGCTCACATCGCTAAATTAATTTTAGTTAATTTATTAATCAATTTTATTAATTTATTTGGTCTTATGAATGCTATGAATGTTATTAATATGATAAAGCTATTTGTGTTATTAATGTGATTATTGCTAGTAATATTATTATCAATGTTGTAATGTTTAGTGTCGTTAATCTTGTTAATTATTATGAATATTATGAATGCTATTAATTTTACTAATGTTGTTATTGTTAATGCTATTCAGGTATGCATCTAACATAAAGACAAACCTCGTCAGCTGGCACTGGGTTTTGGCAATCTACATGGTCAAGATTCCAAGGAAGCCAACACCACCATGGCTGCTAGTAATATTATTATCAATGTTGTAATGTTTAGTGTCGTTAATCTTGTTAATTATTATGAATATTATGAATGCTATTAATTTTACTAAAGCTGTATTTCAAAAAATCATCCGATCAATTTGCCTTAATCACAATTTTCCCTATTTTAAGTACTTGATTCTAGGTTTGTGAGAGTTTGACTCATTGCCTGACTCAAAAAATCTGACTCAAAAAATCAATTTGCCTTAATCACATGGAAAATAATTTAATAATTTCACATTTCATCGCAATTTTCGATTATTGAGCTCGCGAAAAAACAATTGGAAATATAAAAGCTGGCTGAGAATCTAGTTTTATTTACTTTCTTCCTTTTGTCAAACCTCTTCCATCAATTTCTCCATATCGACTTGACGCGGCGTAGCGGGATTTGTACGTGCCCGGCTAACGCCATCCCGTGCAGGGAAACGAATAGGAGAATGGGCAAAGGCCTCATCTTGAATCAGTTTTTTGAATATTCAAATGCTTTGAAAGTCTCAATAATATCTCAATCAATTTATTTTTTTAATTTAATCAAAAGTTGAAGATGCAAATGGTTAGATTTAGTAAAGAAAAAGAAAAGCAATGAAATGAACACAATGAACACAAAGGATCGATTGTCACTGGTGGTGATCAGCAGCAAATTGGGTCAACATTTAAGACATCAATTTAGGTATGAATTTAGTGTAAACTGCATCATTTTATTATATTATTTAAGACTTTTTAAAGCTATTCAATGCCTTTGTTTTTAAAAACAAAAAAAATCAGATTTATTTATGAGCAAAAGAATCGGAATCGTATTTTGAAGAAAGTCATTAACCATTCTCTCATCAAAAATACCTTAAAAAACTTTGAAACTCAATTTTTTCAAGACTGTCAAAAAAGGTAAATCTCTTTAGAAAATCATTTAAATTCATTTAAAACCCATTTCTATCACATAAAGAACTTAAAAAGACAAACAATTCTCGTAAATTCAAACTCGATTCAAGTTTTTCCCTCAAATTTCCAATTTCCCCTCAATTCTTATCACTTTTTCATACTTAGATCGGATTTTTCAGCTTTTCGAGCCAAATCTTTCCAGAAATTTCGGAAAAATGAAGTTTAAATTTGAAACTCTCAATTTTTCACCTTGATAACAGTCCTCTTTTGTTATTTTAGTGAAAAAAAAAGTGCACTTTTCACAGCTGAAATTCAAAAATTTGATAAGTTTTACAAATTTAACTGTAAAAAGAGGTTGCCTTTGAAAAAGAGTAAAAAAGAACTTCAACTTTTACTGTTGAAATTATCTTCAACTTTTACTACTGTAAAAGTAGTTTACTTTAGTTTACTCTACTTATAGTTTTACCACTCACTTTTACTGTAAATTTTTATGCAAAGCGTGAGATTTTATGTCGGGAAAAATACCCGTTTTTGTTCTTTGGCAATGGAAAATAATTTAATAATTTCACATTTCATTGCTTTATTGTCTTTTATTGTCTTTTATAACAAAAATCCTCAAGAATACCATTGAAATTCTTGAGTTTCAGAATGATTCATAGGGATTACTGTGGAACATTGATAAAGACACATACACGGTAAAGAAGGCTGCAAAAATTTTAGAACAAACTGTTTTGACAAAGAGAATTATTAGCAGTGCATTGGCTGGAACACATGACCCAATGGGCTGGTTCTTTGACAACCAGTGTAGCAGCACCCATTAGCTGATAACTGTACAAGAAAATGAGCGAAAACCCGTATTTGAGGCAATCGTGATTTGTGATTGTTTGGAAAGCCGAAAATTGATTCAAAATTGTTTGGGATCCTGGAAATCCACAGTAATCCTTTTAAAGCTCAAAACGACAATTGATGAACGTATCTTCAGGCTTTAGCCATTATTTTGCATGAAAATTTTTACTCAGAAAATTGCCCTCCTTCACTCAATCTACAGTGAGATTCAAGTGAGCTCCAGAGTGACAATCGAAGTTTCTCATCCTGACATTCACATCAGCTTTATTTCTCCAATGACAAGCTTTGAGATCTCTTTGAGAATCAACTGACAAGCTTTGAGATCTCTACTTTTCGGTGCCGATTTTCTGCATCTTCGCCACCGATCTCTTTGAGAATCAACAAGAACAGAAAAAGCTTTTGGCACAGGTAAATTAATGTTCGAATTGTTTAAGTTTAGGTTTGTTTGATGTTTGGAATTGTTTAGGTTTCAAAAACTGTAAATTTATAAGCTGATAATATTTACAGAAAGTTTAGGTACCTATTTTTGATGTAGAAAGATCTAGAAACTAGAGATGATGATTCATATCAATGAATTTTAGAGCACAAAGAACATCTTGACGCTCAAGAATTGAATAGATTTTACATAATTTTGGAGATTTTCCAGGTGTGAGTCAAAAGAAGACGCGTTCCTCGCATTCTTCCGTCGATTCAGCCCTTTCACCATCGCCGTCCGTCGAATCTGATTGATTTCGACTCTCGGATTGATTAGAGAATTCTTTAAAATCTAGATCTAGAAACTAGAAAGATCTAGAAACTAGAGATTTTCGAGTTCTTTGAGTTCAGGTGAAAGCTTTCCTTTTCTAATATTTCAGTTTTGTTCTGTTCAAATGAAAACCTGAATCAAAATCTTCTTCGCCATCACATCGCGTCCCATTCCGCAGTCTCGGAAACTCTATGCTTTTCAGCTCAACTCTTTCATCAAAGCTTTCATCAAAATCTAAGCAAAAACTTTTGAAAGGAAAAGCTTTTGAAAACAAAATCTTGACCAGGTTTTGACCAGGTTAAGCTGATCTTGATAAGAAGCTGATCTTGATGAGAACACCCGCTAAGCCAACCGACCAGCGCTCCTGGAAGCAATTTTTATGTTTTTTATGCATTTGTCCCACTCCGTCCCATCTCAAAAGCGAACTCAACCTGCAGTTTTTTATGGCTCTTCCAAAATTTTTTTTGACAGGCTACAATCCTCGAGAGAGGCCGACAGACAGACTACAGTATCCTCAAGAAAGGCAGAAAGGCAGACAAAAAGACAGAGAGACAGACTACGGTATCCTCCAGAAAGACAGACAGAAGATAGACAGACAGACTGACTGACTGACTACAATAACCTCAAGAAAGACAGACAGACAGAAGGCAGACAGACAACAGAAGACAGACTACAGTATCCTCCAGACAGACAGAAGACAGTTCATAGCACATAAGACCTGCCCCAAGATGACAACAAGTTTTCCCTGTGCCGTCTCAAAACCCTCCGCAAAAACAATTGAATAATCAGGAGAAGTATTCATGTTTCAAAATATCTAATCTATAAGTGAAATCTTAAGAATTAATTCAATTCTTTCCTCTTTGATATAGGAATTTCAAATTTTACTCGAATTTTCGTCACTTTTAGGTTAGCATTGTGAATTGTGACTAAGCAAAAAGCACAAATCTTTTTTGGTTTTTTATACTTAAAGGCTTAAAAAGCAAAACCAAGTAGCACTTTTAAACGCACAAAATGCCGGTGAAAGCCGGTTTCTGAAGAGCTTGCTGGGGTTCAAAGGATTATCGAGACTTCCTCACTTCCCTACTTGCCCAAAATTGAAACCTAAGCTTTCTCTTGCTAGAATTTTTTTGTTAGTCTCACTAGCTACTAAAAAATAGCATAAGCACCAGAAAACAACCAAAAAAGATTTGTGCTTAATTCAAATGTTATTACTCAACTTATCCAGAGTTTTACTTTAATTACTTTTTTAACTAAGTGATTCTCTAATCTGTCTCTTTAGACAAAGAAAAAGTCATGTTTCAAAGAAGTTCATGTAAAAATTGGATTAGTTTTTCCACTCCTTGTTCAATTTTATTGACCTTTTAGAATTCTATAACTCTCAAACTGCAATAGAAATTCGTTAATATTAGCTTTTTAGAGGTTGTTTAAAACGCAAAAAAAGGTGCGCTAATGGGCAAGGTGCGGAAAAAAAATGTCCGGGTGCGCAAAAAAAAGGTTGCATTTGTCCCGCTCCCGTCCCATCTCGAAAGCGAACTCAACCTGCAGTTTTTTATGGCTCTTCCAAAATCTTGGATACGAGTAAATTTCCACGAAAGGGTTAGATAGCTAAAAAAGTTTGAGTTTCAATTTTCTTGATGACAAACGGGTCTCTGGGGTTTTAATTTATACTCGTTTGAGGCGGTTTGAAAATTTGTTACCATATTTTCTCTAATAGTAACTTGAGTAATTTAACTTGAGTGTTTTCAGGTGAATGTATGCTCAATTTTCTGAAAAGAAACTAAACATATCAGACTCTCATAGTATAGTAAGTAGCCATCGATCATTCTTTAGGCACACATTAGCTACGTTAACAAACGCAGTTAAATATAATGAAAATCCAAAAAATTTTGTCCTAACATGGCTAAATTCAAAATTTAATTAAACAGCTGTGGTTTGTTTTAATTAAGAGCAGACTCTCATAGTATAGTAAGTTAATGAAGCAGTTGATACGCCGTTTAAAGTCGCAAGGTTTTCATTTGAAGGTTTAAAGTGAAGGCTGAAGCTAAAAATTTATTTATTCAATATCTCCGGCTGCATCAACAATCCCTATGGCCCCAGAGGATCTCGGTATTTTGGAGCACAAACCAATAAAACCGGTATGCAATAAAACCCTTTACAACACTTTAAATCAGGACATCGCTCGTCACATCGCTAAATTAATTTTAGTTAATTTATTAATCAATTTTATTAATTTATTTGGTCTTATGAATGCTATGAATGTTATTAATATGATAAAGCTATTTGTGTTATTAATGTGATTATTGCTAGTAATATTATTATCAATGTTGTAATGTTTAGTGTCGTTAATCTTGTTAATTATTATGAATATTATGAATGCTATTAATTTTACTAATGTTGTTATTGTTAATGCTATTCAGGTATGCATCTAACATAAAGACAAACCTCGTCAGCTGGCACTGGGTTTTGGCAATCTACATGGTCAAGATTCCAAGGAAGCCAACACCACAATGGCTGCTAGTAATATTATTATCAATGTTGTAATGTTTAGTGTCGTTAATCTTGTTAATTATTATGAATATTATGAATGCTATTAATTTTACTAATGTTGTTATTGTTAATGCTATTCAGGTATGCATCTAACATAAAGACAAACCTGAGCTGCCATTGCCTTTTCGCAATCGTTCCATTCACCGTCAAGATTCCAAGGAAGCCAACACCACCATGGTTTTGCCAAAATGACCGGAAATAAGGAAAGCATAAAGGCAAAAATGAAGAATTTCATGTTTTCTTATAAAAGCAAAAAAATTAAATATTTGCTTTTAATATTGGTTTAGTACAATATAGGTGGAATCTAATGCGTAAAAACACTATCCTAAAAATAGACAATGTTGATGAGATTCTACACTGGAAAGTGTAGAATACAAATATTTGAATTGACAAAAAAGATTGACAAGAAGTGTATCGACCAATTTCATTACGACATCACATATTTTTCAAAAATCTGAATCAGAATCTGAACCAATCAGGGACTGAATTGGAACAGAATCTGAATCAGAATCTGAACCAATCAGGGACTGAATTGGAACAGAATCTGAATCAGAATCTGAACCAATCAGGACTGAATTGGAACAGAATCTGAACCAATCAGGACTGAATTGGAACAGAATCTGAATCAGAATCTGAACCAATCAGGACTGAATTGGAGCAGAATCTGAATCAGAATCTGAACCAATCAGGACTGAATTGGAACAGAATCTGAGCCAATCAGGGACTGAATTGGAACAGAATCTGAATCAGAATCTGAACCAACCAGGACTGAATTGGAACAGAATCTGCAGAATCTGAACCAATCAGGACTGAATTGGAACAGAATCTGAATCAGAATCTGAACCAATCAGGACTGAATTGGAACAGAATCTGAATCAGAATCTGAACCAATCAGGACTGAATCGGAACAGAATCTGAGCCAATCAGGGACTGAATTGGAACAGAATCTGAATCAGAATCTGAACCAATCAGGACTGAATTGGAGCAGAATCTGAGCCAATCAGGGACTGAATTGGAACAGAATCTGAATCAGAATCTGAACCAATCAGGACTGAATTGGAACAGAATCTGAATCAGAATCTGAACCAATCAGGACTGAATTGGAACAGAATCTGAACCAATCAGGACTGAATTGGAACAGAATCTGAATCAGAATCTGAACCAATCAGGACTGAATTGGAACAGAATCTGAATCAGAATCTGAACCAATCAGGACTGAATTGGTGAACAGAATCTGAACCAATCAGGACTGAATTGGAACAGAATCTGAATCAGAATCTGAACCAATCAGGACTGAATTGGAACAGAATCTGAATCAGAATCTGAACCAATCAGGACTGAATTGGAACAGAATCAATCAGAATCTGAACCAATCAGGGACTGAATTGGAACAGAATCTGAATCAGAATCTGAACCAATCAGGACTGAATTGGAACAGAATCTGAGCCAATCAGGGACTGAATTGGAACAGAATCTGAATCAGAATCTGAACCAATCAGGACTGAATTGGAACAGAATCTGAATCAGAATCTGAACCAATCAGGACTGAATTGGAACAGAATCTGAGCCAATCAGGGACTGAATTGGAACAGAATCTGAATCAGAATCTGAACCAATCAGGGACTGAATTGGAACAGAATCTGAACCAATCAGGACTGAATTGGAACAGAATCTGAATCAGAATCTGAACCAATCAGGACTGAATTGGAACAGAATCTGAATCAGAATCTGAACCAATCAGGACTGAATTGGAACAGAATCTGAGCCAATCAGGGACTGAATTGGAACAGAATCTGAATCAGAATCTGAACCAATCAGGACTGAATTGGAGCAGAATCTGAGCCAATCAGGGACTGAATTGGAACAGAATCTGAATCAGAATCTGAACCAATCAGGACTGAATTGGAACAGAATCTGAATCAGAATCTGAACCAATCAGGACTGAATTGGAACAGAATCTGAACCAATCAGGACTGAATTGGAACAGAATCTGAACCAATCAGGACTGAATTGGAACAGAATCTGAATCAGAATCTGAACCAATCAGGGACTGAATTGGAACAGAATCTGAATCAGAATCTGAACCAATCAGGACTGAATTGGAACAGAATCTGAACCAATCAGGACTGAATTGGAACAGAATCTGAATCAGAATCTGAACCAATCAGGACTGAATTGGAACAGAATCTGAATCAGAATCTGAACCAATCAGGACTGAATCGGAACAGAATCTGAGCCAATCAGGGACTGAATTGGAACAGAATCTGAATCAGAATCTGAACCAATCAGGACTGAATTGGAACAGAATCTGAGCCAATCAGGGACTGAATTGGAACAGAATCTGAATCAGAATCTGAACCAATCAGGACTGAATTGGAACAGAATCTGAATCAGAATCTGAACCAATCAGGACTGAATTGGAACAGAATCTGAACCAATCAGGACTGAATTGGAACAGAATCTGAATCAGAATCTGAACCAATCAGGACTGAATTGGAACAGAATCTGAACCAATCAGGACTGAATTGGAACAGAATCTGAACCAATCAGGACTGAATTGGAACAGAATCTGAATCAGAATCTGAACCAATCAGGGACTGAATTGGAACAGAATCTGAATCAGAATCTGAACCAATCAGGGACTGAATTGGAACAGAATCTGAACCAATCAGGACTGAATTGGAACAGAATCTGAATCAGAATCTGAACCAATCAGGACTGAATTGGAACAGAATCTGAACCAATCAGGACTGAATTGGAACAGAATCTGAATCAGAATCTGAACCAATCAGGGACTGAATTGGAACAGAATCTGAATCAGAATCTGAACCAATCAGGACTGAATTGGAACAGAATCTAAATCAGAATCTGAACCAATCAGGACTGAATTGGAACAGAATCTGAATCAGAATCTGAACCAATCAGGACTGAATTGGAACAGAATCTGAATCAGAATCTGAACCAATCAGGACTGAATTGGAACAGAATCTGAACCAATCAGGACTGAATTGGAGCAGAATCTGAACCAATCAGGGACTGAATTGGAACAGAATCTGAACCAATCAGGACTGAACTGGAACAGAATCTGAACCAATCAGGACTGAATTGGAACAGAATCTGAATCAGAATCTGAACCAATCAGGACTGAATTGGAGCAGAATCTGAACCAATCAGGGACTGAATTGGAACAGAATCTGAACCAATCAGGGACTGAATTGGAACAGAATCTGAACCAATCAGGACTGAACTGGAACAGAATCTGAATCAGAATCTGAACCAATCAGGACTGAATTGGAACAGAATCTGAACCAATCAGGACTGAATTGGAACAGAATCTGAATCAGAATCTGAACCAATCAGGACTGAATTGGAACAGAATCTGAACCAATCAGGGACTGAATTGGAACAGAATCTGAACCAATCAGGGACTGAATTGGAACAGAATCTGAACCAATCAGGACTGAATTGGAACAGAATCTGAATCAGAATCTGAACCAATCAGGACTGAATTGGAACAGAATCTGAACCAATCAGGACTGAATTGGAACAGAATCTGAATCAGAATCTGAACCAATCAGGACTGAATTGGAGCAGAATCTGAATCAGAATCTGAACCAATCAGGACTGAATTGGAACAGAATCTGAATCAGAATCTGAACCAATCAGGACTGAATTGGAACAGAATCTGAATCAGAATCTGAACCAATCAGGACTGAATTGGAACAGAATCTGAACCAATCAGGACTGAATTGGAACAGAATCTGAATCAGAATCTGAACCAATCAGGACTGAATTGGAACAGAATCTGAATCAGAATCTGAACCAATCGGGGACTGAATTGGAACAGAATCTGAACCAATCAGGGACTGAATTGGAACAGAATCTGAACCAATCAGGGACTGAATTGGAACAGAATCTGAACCAATCAGGGCTGAATTGGAACAGAATCTGAATCAGAATCTGAACCAATCAGGACTGAATTGGAACAGAATCTGAACCAATCAGGACTGAATTGGAACAGAATCTGAATCAGAATCTGAACCAATCAGGACTGAATTGGAGCAGAATCTGAATCAGAATCTGAACCAATCAGGACTGAATTGGAACAGAATCTGAATCAGAATCTGAACCAATCAGGGACTGAATTGGAACAGAATCTGAATCAGAATCTGAACCAATCAGGACTGAATTGGAACAGAATCTGAACCAATCAGGACTGAATTGGAACAGAATCTGAATCAGAATCTGAACCAATCAGGACTGAATTGGAACAGAATCTGAATCAGAATCTGAACCAATCAGGGACTGAATTGGAACAGAATCTGAACCAATCAGGGACTGAATTGGAACAGAATCTGAACCAATCAGGGACTGAATTGGAACAGAAGCTGAATCTATTTAAAACCTATTTAATACAAAAATAATCAAACCAAAAATAAATAAAAAGTTTTTATCAAAATTGATTTTAAAAAAGTGGGATGCGGGTTTTTTTTCCAAAAATGAGCCACATTATTACCATTTTCTTGTATTATTTCAAAGTTTCAAAGACCATTTTCAGAACATCGACGCTTGCTGCGAGAAAGAAGGAGTGTCGTCTTTTTAATATTATTAGTGTAATAAATTTATTCAAAAAATTAGAGCTTCTTGATGCGTCATCCTGCGTCCCAATGTTTACGTTTTAGGACCGTGTAGAATTGGCTGAAAGAAAGGTTTTGAAAAGACGAAAAATTTGACATTTAGAGATTTTTTTAGAGAGTGACAATTTTTTAGAGAGTGATTGAGACTCTCAATTCTCAATTTTTTTAGAGAGTGATTGAGACAGATGATTGGAGGAACCATATTTAAAGAAATAAACAACTAGAGAGTAAAAGTAAAACTACATTTGTAGTAATTTATATAAAGGAACTATATTTAGTGAGACAAAGAATTCTTCAAAGAATAGAAGTACTACATTTAGCGTGATGTAGAACTATATTTAGTTCAAATAACAATATTTAGAGAGTATAAGATTGAGGCAAACTTCATGCCTAAAGTTATTCACAATTTTATTTAACTCTACTTTAGAAAGGTAGATACTACACTTTTCGAAAACTTTCTTTCTCTTCAAATAAATATACTTCAGTTTTCCCAGAAAAACTTTCTCCAAAAACTTTTTTAGTAATTTTGGACCAAAAAATTTTAGACTCAAAAAAGAAAGGCTTCTTCAATAGAAAAAATGTTTTGTGTTATGGTCAATTCACGGTTGGAATTCACTGTTTGCTATAAATAAATGTATCGATGAAGAACAGAAAATAACCAACAAAAATAGAAGATCGCATCATGAAAATCGGCAAAACTTAATTCAACAAGCTGGCAACAAAAATAGAAAAAATTGTGATAAAATAAAAATAGAACATTGCGAGAAATTTCATTCTCTGCTGCCATAAAAACCACTAATCAAGAAACGGAGTCGTACGTTTTGTCTGAAATCGTGTGATTTGCCAAAACATGCTTCTCACCGCAAACACTTTGCTACTTTTGCTCTCAATTTCTACATGGGAAGTGACGTTTCAAGTGTTCCTTAAGTTGCTTCAATTTGAGATTCAGGTCGATTGGTACCCTGTGCTGGTGCGAAAAGTTGACCGATTCTAGTACTTGATACTGAGCCTGATCTTAGTTAGGGCCAAGGCCCGAGGAGAACCCTAGAAAAGGTGTAGGACCCTAGAGAAACTCACTTTGATGAAATTTTCAAATATAAGAAGTTAAAAGAAGCTAGAGAAATTTTTCGGCGGAGGAGGTTGAAAGTTTTTCACAATCGTCGCCAAAATTTCGATTGGTCACTGGTTGAAGGGTGTGAAGTGGGAAGCGTCTTTTTTTATTTGCCTAAAACAACACCTGTAACGAGGAATTTACAATATTTCGAACTGGTCATTTTTTAGATCCTCAAATCAGCCCGCGACTGGCTCTTTTTTCCACGTCCGGATTTTTTTGGAACCGCAACAAAAACCTAAAATTGACTTTGGATTTGATCCTTAATTTTACATTTTTATGCTCACCTCACTGCTGGTAATTCTTTCTTAAGCATTGAGTAACATCAAAAAATAATCATGTCGGAGATCTTCTCGATCAGCTGGTAAGCCACCACAAAAAATGAGCAATGCACATGGAATAGGAGACAACAAAGCATACCCGGCAAATTCTGAGAGGGAGAAATAATTTGACTTCATTATCGCAATCAAACCCGATCCGGTATATTTATACATGGTGTATTCGACCAATCGGCATTTGTCGATCCGTAAGAACGAATTGGTATGCCAAGTGTTTGTCGAACAGTCGCAATGACGCAGCAACAAGGAATAACATCTAAAAGCTAAAATACACCCCAAGACTGTTTTAAATACAACTCTTCACTTGCTCGCTTCCACGGAGCATCGTTGGACTTGGAATGAGCTTCTCGATTGATTGAAGAATCTTCTTTCTTGCTCCTTTTGTTACATTTCGCTGGACCAGAGTGTTTTTGTCTGAAAATAATCTATCCATGTGCATAAGATGTCTCGCACCTCAAATTTTCAAGACTTTGGACGCTTTTTTCAATAATGATTTACATTATGTTTGAATTGAATAAATTTTCAATATGAAAATTTATTTATCTCATTAAAAAATCATCTTTACCCGCAACTTCCTTTAAAGAGGCACAAATAGTCAAGAAATAAGTAAAAACACAAGCTTTTCTCCTAATTTTTCTAAAAATTGATGAATTGTTGACGCCATTGAAAACGGAAGTTTCACAGTTTGATTTGAAAATGGAAAATCGAAGTAAACTCACAAGCAAAAAAACCCATGCAAACTCTACAACGTGTCTAACTTTCAAAGTGTCTGGCCGTAGGCTTCTCAGAAACAAGAAGAAGTCGGATCTAAACACTTTTTTGATGTAATTTGATGACACGACGGTTATAAACGGTTTCAAAGAGTGTTTTCATTTCATTTAATGTTTTTATGCTGAATAAATCTGAGTCCAACAGTTTTCAATTTATCAAACCAATATGTCCGGTACGTAATTACGGAAATCACGGCCATTGTTATGAAAAAGTTGATATTAGTGTAATAAATTTATTCAAAAAAATAGTCAGATTGACTTGTCCCTAATAATGTTTTTCTTTAGATTTGATCTTTAAAACGTCTAACGACGATCTTTGATTCACCAAGATGGTCAAAGAGGACAAGTAAAACGATTTTTTTATAGCCGCATTTATCTAGATTTTTAGATCTACCTGGAAGGCTAACTACTTCACCAAGATCGCCGAGCTCTTCGAAGAATATCCGAAGCTCTTCATCGTTGGTGTTGACAATGTTGGTTCTAAGCAAATGCAGGAGATCCGTATTGCTATGAGAGGTTTGTGTTTGCGCTCTTTATTGATTATATTAAATTTTTTAGGGCATGCCGTCATTCTGATGGGAAAGAACACCATGATCCGCAAGGCCATCCGTGGACTTCTCGCAAAGAACCCAAATCTCGAGAAGCTTCTTCCATACATCGTGCAAAACGTTGGCTTCGTTTTCACCAAGGGAGATTTATCGGAGATTCGCGGACAGCTGTTGGAGAACAAGAGGGTGAGCGGCTTTTGGGTTATTGTTTGTAGCCGGGTTAATGTGTTGAATTAAGCGATGCATTTTAAGGACTAGTTTGATTGGATTTAGGTTTTAAGCTTTGTAGTATAGGCTCTTTAACATATTAGTTGAGTAGTGAAGAATTTTGTTCTTAAAAATTACATTTTACGAATTTTATTATTTTGGGGTGCTCCTGCTATGGCTTTAAGTAACAAACAAAATAATGTATCAATCATTCAAAAGGAATTAAAAGTAATGAAGAATCAGAAATAAACTTTAGGACGTCGCGTTTGCGCTCATACAGACAGACGTCTTCTGTTTTATTTAAAGTAAATAGTATCTTTGCGGCCATTAATTATTTAAATAAAAGTAAATTTTAGGGAGCTCCTGCAAAAGCAGGAAGTCTGGCGCCATGTGACGTGAAACTTCCTCCACAAAACACTGGAATGGGACCTGAGAAGACTTCTTTCTTCCAAGCTCTTCAAATTCCGACCAAGATCGCAAGGGGAACCATCGAGATTCTCAACGAAGTTCACCTCATCAAGGTATATTTTTAAGCGAGTCTATAGCTACTAATATGCTTGCCTTTGCTATGCACGTTCCAACGTTTAAATTTAGATTGGCGAGAAAGTCGGTGCTTCGGAGTGTGCTCTTTTGAACATGTTGGGCATCCAACCGTTCTCATACGGTCTTGTTGTTCTTCAAGTGTATGACAGTGGAACGATGGTAAAATATACTTTATTTCTCTTTTTCTAATAAAAAAATTTAGTACTCTCCATCTGTGCTCGACCTTTCGACTGACGACTTGCGTGCTCGCTTCGTCCAAGGGGCCCGAAACATCGCCGCCGTGTCTCTTTCGATTGGAGTGCCAACTCTTGCCTCCGTTCCACACAGCTTGGCCACCGGACTCCAGAACATGCTCGGAATCGCAGCTGCTACCGACGTCACTTTCAAGGCTGCCGAGAAGCTCAAGGAATTCTTGGCCGATCCTAGCAAATTCGTTGTGGCTGCTGCTCCAGTCGCCGCCGCTGCTGCTGCTCCAGCTGAGACCAAGAAGAAGGAAGAGCCTAAGGAGGAGTCGGATGACGGTAAGAGAAAACTCGGAAAAGAAAACTAATAATTTGTGTTTCTTTAGACATGGGATTCGGTCTCTTCGATTAAACGATCACCTTTGATATGTTCATGGTTTTAAATAATTGTTATTATTCCATGTTATGTGTCATAAATGCCTAGTACGGATTGTAGCAAACATAAGCTGAACGAAAGGCGCCTTTAAAGCTATTCGGTGCATTTCTTGAATTCCCCACCTATTGCGAGGAGCGTAAAGGAATGCAACGAGCGGATGGAGAGATTTTGGATGGTTCCGACAAGGAGGTTTAATAAAAAGATTACTGACAAAGGTTACTGTAAATATATACATAGCAGTGCACTGTCCACCTTTTAAGCCAACAAATCCCTCCAAAGTGTCAAATTGCAATGCGAAAAACTGCAAATACCTCAAAACCGTTCAAATCCATAGTTCCTTTCAAAAACTTAACAATTTCTCCTTTAGCTTGTGCAGCCAACGATCAAGTGATCGAAATTGATAAAAAAGGTAAAAATTGGAGAGAAATAGTAAGTAAAACTCGTGTTTATAATTTATCCAGGGTTGAATGTAAAAGGCATCGAACGGAAACGGGTGGATGAGCCTTTTTGAAGGAGGTCAATTGTTAATTTTCTTTAACAACATATTGTTTCGTTTTTTTCTAGCACCTACTCGTAACTCTATCTAGATATATTAAAGAATCGCCTGGCCTAAACTGTCTGGCTGTCGCTGTTTTCAGCCTCTTGAAAGGACGGCTCTCTTGTATTCTCCTGTACCCCAATAGCTCTGAGCTTTTGCCCGGAAAGGCAACGGTCCCGGCATTCGATCCCCGGGCATAGACTGTGCATTTCTTTTGAGAGATCAGTAAAGCCAGTCCAGTAGTTTAGTCTAGGCTTACCAGGTCCAAGGACGTCTTGTGAACAAGATCTACAGTAAAGCCAGCCAAGCCAAGCTCAAGCCTCTCCGAGAAACCCTTGCACTCAAAGCTCAACACTTGCAGCAAAAGATTGAGAAACTTCGAGAAAAGGTAAGCACTCAACAAATCAACTAGATAAATGCCTTTTCCAGCTCTCTGACATGTACTTTAATTTGAAAGACGTCATTCAATCACTTCTTTGTCTCAAGTGAAACTCTAAATCAATCAAAAATCAATCAAATAATCAAATGATAAATATTTATTAAGAAAAGTTGTGAATTTTTCTTCTTTTTCCGCGTTCAAATCATTGCATCAAGCTGCGTGACGAGCTGTCTGAAAAGAATCGTGTTTAAGCTTGAACATTCAATTTCCGGAAACTCTAAAGCTTCCTCCAGCTACCGTAACCCGGGCTAGATACACATGTTCCTATCAACTTATGTTACAGTAATCTTTATGATTACGGTAGACTTCTTGAACTACTGTAACATCTACAAACTGGATGACGGATCACGTCATCCAAATAGTCACGTCACGGGTCACAAACCAAGTCACGCTTTAAAGCCCCTATTCAAGTCGATATTTTCAAGTCCACTGGCTTATAATTTAATGCACTTAAGAAAGCGAACCATTCTCATATATGGTGACATCATCGGTCGTATCATTCGACGTTCCCCTCTTCAGCGATGGTTGAAATGAAGGACGAGATTCCATCTTCTTCACTACCTCTCCACCCAACTCATTTCTCGGCTTTCGTTGCACCTGAAACGATTTCTTTTATGACAAGACAGAGATCTTAAAAGCTAGAAAGTCTAGGTTCAGATTATCAACATCTCTGGACTTCTCTGGACTTCTCTGGACTTCTCTAGACCAGAGCAAGTCTCTACAGCCTCTCCGCCTTCCGCCTCTAAACACAGGTCCAGAGAGTGTCCACGAGCTCAGGATAATACTGAGATGACTCTGGGCTAAGATTTCGGTTTAGGAATCTTAGCTAAGATTCCTAGCTTAGCTTCTTTAAGCTAAGCACATGGGTTGCGGTATATTGACTAGTCCCTGGCCAATATACAGTAAAGAATACAAACACCCTGAATCTTCAAAAGCTTACCAAAAGAAAGTTCTAAAAAATGAATGCTTGGGTGTACGGTATCTATCACCTAACAAGAAACTACAGTATCCATCACTTTTAAACCACACACCGTAATCGAAATCGAAAAGAAGACGGGGAAATGAGATGTGGAAAAGAGAAATGCGGAAGAGGGGAAAGGGAGAGAAATACTAGAAACTAGAATACTAGAAAGGGAGAAGAGACCTTTTCTGTTTCCTCTTACCTGATAGAGTTGTCCCATGGTGGTCATCGTTTGTGGAATGACGTTGTTGACGAAGAAGAAAAGGGCGTAAAGGAAAGATGACAGGTAAAGGTACTTTTTTATTTCAATTGGTAGACGTAACATTTAAAAGACAAAGACATTAACGTAACAAATTTCAATTAGCCTAATTTTGGAGAGGGGAATATGCTATGAGGGAGTATAAGAAGGGCAATAGATAAGGGACCATAGCCTCTCTTTTGAATCTGATAAGCTACTAGGGATATTCTAACTGCGATATCCTAGATACGGTCTATACTTTAAATAAATAAATAAATTCCCTGTCTCGTGGAGATTTCACAGGTAGAGCTGGCACAATTTCAGGTCTTTAGTTTAGGCTTTGCAATTGAAAGTGGCGATTTCACAACAACCACTTGGAGTTTTGATAATTGATCGCTTTGTTGCTTTTTGAACGACTAAAAATAAAGTTTAAAAAATAAAACTACTGCTTAAAATTAGTCATTTAGATACTAAACAAACAATACTGTTTTACAGAGAAGCATTTTTTGGGGTTTTTCTTTGGAAAATCGATTTTCTAAGGGTTACGGTAAGTCTGGGTAAATAAGTTTTGGTGTTGTCTGCGAGAGAGAGGGACAAATCGAAAAATGATCAATCAAGGATTTATGAAATTCGCGGGAAATTAATGAACAAAGCACGAGATTAGAAAGTCAATAAAGTGATGGGTAAAATTTTAAATCCAAATGTAACACCGGACTTAAACGAGCGAAGGAAGTGCTTAATTCAAAAAATTTGAAACATGGTTTTTTAAAAAAACCCGATCAAGCACTGTAGCTTGGGAAAGATAGCTTAAAGATGGCTTTAAAATGGCTTTTAAATGTTCAATTTCGAAGCAAAGCCAGTCTTAAACCTTGCCAATTAACCGGACATTTTTCCGGTTGTGAAAAAGTCGAGACTGTTTTACAGAGAAGCTGTATTTCAAAAAAATCATCCGATCAATTTGCCTTAATCACATGGAAAATAATTTAATAATTTCACATTTCATCGCAATTTTCGATTATTGAGCTCGCGAAAAAACAATGGGAAATATAAAAGCTGGCTGAGAATCTAGTTTTATTTACTTTCTTCCTTTTGTCAAACCTCTTCCATCAATTTCTCCATATCGACTTGACGCGGCGTAGCGGGATTTGTACGTGCCCGGCTAACGCCATCCCGTGCAGGGAAACGAATAGGAGAATGGGCAAAGGCCTCATCTTGAATCAGTTTTTTGAATATTCAAATGCTTTGAAAGTCTCAATAATATCTCAATCAATTTATTTTTTTAATTTAATCAAAAGTTGAAGATGCAAATGGTTAGATTTAGTAAAGAAAAAGAAAAGCAATGAAATGAACACAATGAACACAAAGGATCGATTGTCACTGGTGGTGATCAGCAGCAAATTGGGTCAACATTTAAAACATCAATTTAGGTATGAATTTAGTGTAAACTGCATCATTTTATTATATTATTTAAGACTTTTTAATGATATTCAATGCCTTTGTTTTTAAAAACAAAAAAAATCAGATTTATTTATGAGCAAAAGAATCGGAATCGTATTTTGAAGATTTTTCTTTAGAAAATCTCTTTAGAAAATCATTTAAATTCATTTAAAACCCATTTCTATCACATAAAGAACTTAAAAAGACGAACAATTCTCGTAAATTCATCCTGGAAATCCACAGTAATCCTTTTAAAGCTCAAAACGACAATTGATGAACGTATCTTCAGGCTTTAGCCATTATTTTGCATGAAAATTTTTACTCAGAAAATTGCCCTCCTTCACTCAATCTACAGTGTCTCCCTTCCACTGTCACCGTTCTTCTCACCATAAAGCTTACGACGCTCATCGATGGTGCTCTAAAATAATTCTTACATTACATAAAGTTTAAAGCTAAATATCCAATCTTTATCATACGGGTTTTACTTCTCAGTTTAGCTGTGTTTTCCATCTATAGACCTCGTGACGGCCGGGTATACTTTTAAGAGCCTCACCAACTCTGCTGAAAAGCCTCGACCGCCCAGTTTATAAAAAATTTCTTGAGATTATGTTAGGCAAAAAACACTAATGGGTTGGGTCGAGGCGCGTGCTAAATCGTTTGCGAGAAGTGAACCCACGGGAAAATGGAAAACCGCAAACAAGCTCTACGTGGCCATATTAGAGGGCCAAGAAGGGCGACGTCACAATTTCCTTAAAGCGAGACGGTCACCCAAAGTCTTCGTGTTGTCGAACGAAAAGTCTTCGCCCATAAAAACTCACCCCCATCTCGGTGTAAGGCTCTCGAATTTCAACCATTCCCAAATGCATCTTGCCACCAAAATGATCAGCCAAGCGCGATTCATGGTCCATGATATTGAGCTAAATTTAAGGAAATTTATTTTGCTTCTTGAATACCACATACCTGTGCACCGCAGTCATCACAAACACGAAGACGTTCTAAAATTTATAAATTAAATAATATAAAGTCAATCCATAACTGTATCAAACTCACGTTGAGAAGTCATTGGAATGTTCATCTTTCCTTCATTCTAAACAAAAAGTTCAATCAAAATCTATTTTGCTTGCGCTTTACCTTCAATTCGTTTTTCTTTTGTTCCAACTCCTCGACTTTCTTCGCGGTGCGCATTGATTCCTCAACTTTACCCTAAAATCTTCGAGATTAAATCAAACATTGATAAAGAAACCTGCGAGCCAAGTTCTTCAATTTCCCCAACAAGCAACTTGATTTGCTCCTCAATGTCAGCAATGCGTTTCATCTAAGCAGAGATTAATTTAGCTACTAACAATAAATAATTTCACTATCACCTTCACAATTTCAGCGCTTTCTCCGGCATCTCGCGTGTCTCGGTCGAGTTTGTTCTTGATCTTCTCAATCTCACCATCCACCAAGCGAATTGTGCCTTGCAAGATGTTGTAAAGCTAAAGATATTTGTTGAAGTTTTCTATATCTAAAGGGTACCTCTATGTCATAGAAATGATCCTTCTGTGCTTGAGCATTCTCGTAGTCAGCTTTGTGAGTCGGTTCATGCATCTTTCGACAAGAAACAAGCCCTTCCAACCTAAAAAGCCTTAGAATTAAAAATAAGAAATATATAAGCAAACCTTGTATCCCCCAAAAGATCGCCCGGACAACAACTTAGAAGATATGGTCTGCACACCGAATGATGGTTGTATAGAGGCAGATCTCTGCCTAAAATTGAAGCTCTACATTTGAATGAATGATAAAAAGCACCTTCTTCTTTTGCCCGCTGAGCGCCCATCAACTGGGCAATCGCTTCACGCATCGTGTCCGTCATCTAAATGAAATCATTACATAGATCAATACATTCCTAAAAATAGGCTAGTTCACAGAAAATTTCGACTTGCCCGTCGCAAAACAGACTTTTAAAGAGACCTTTTAGAACCGATTTTGAGATAACATTGGACTTTTACCAGAAAGATAATTAATTAAGCAGATGATAAATTAATACGTTTATTTACAAACTAGATGTACAATCATGGCAGTAAAAAGTTTAAGTATACAGTTGATAGAATTCCTATTGCTTTGGCGGAGCTTTCTTTGCAGCCACTCGATTTGCAATCAGCCGTCCGTACTGTGAAAAAGGAAAACGATTATGAAGACTCCAATCGTCAATTTCAAAACCCTAAATTGAGAAAAATTAAAAGCAAAAGCAGTTCAACTACCTCCAGACGTCAATGGTCTGTTGTAGCTGCAGGGCGACTCCTTGAGAAAGGGGGATACCAAGTTCATCTTCTACCTACAATTCTCTGTAAAGGATTAATTTAATAAATTTGAACCTTTCGGACTTCAGCCCAAAACTGAGCAGCGGATAAATCGGTGGCAACCGTGACGACATTGTCTTTCGACTAAATCGATTAATCGATTGAAGAAATAAAATGAATACAATACCATTCTTCCACCAATAACGGCTCCATCATGCAGAACGGCGATAGCCTTTTTCTCATGCGGCAAAAATACTACCTTTCTGACCTAAAACAAACAGATTGTTTTATTTACTTTAGTAAACTAACCTCTCCTTTTTCAAGGTAATTGTGAAGAAAATCATCAATCGCGATTCCCGGCTCAGCAATAGCTTGTGGCGTAACTTCTAAATCTTGCATAAGCTAGTCAAATCTCACAAATAACCTGGATTTGCCTCCGCTTGTTTGAGCACCAATCGAGTCATCAGATAAAGCGTAACACCGAATGATACCGCCGTCATGCCAAGTATGTAGATACGAAATCTTCGCTCTAAACAAAAACTGTAAAGAGTCAAACAATTGTTTCCTACTCATATTTTCATCAAGCGGCGGCATGGAGCTGGTTTTCCTTTCCTAAAACTCTATTGATTCAATTAATTAGAAAAAGTTACCTTTTCTTCTTCTTGCTTTTCCTCCTTGTCATCATTGCTGGTTTTTTCACTTTCTTGTCCTTTATTCGATTCATTGGTTCGTTGCCGCAGGGTTCGTGTAACTAAAAAAAAATAGAAACGCAATAATTTACTCAAACCTTTCACAGAAGTCAGGGGCCGAGGCACGAGCAATGTCCGAGTTCCATTTGAATAACATCTTGTTAAAGTTAAACTCCGAAAAACAATAAAGAATCGAGACTTCGTTAGCAACATTTCAACTAAAACAATTGAATGAAACTCTTGTCCAAGACGCACAAAGAGGAAAGTGAATTGGACTGACGCGGAGCCACCAAACGATTGATGATAAACGCAAGACTGAACACCATACGACTTAACACCGTTTTTTTTATCCGTGAATAAAATTCAAAACGAGAATTCCAAAAGAGGTAGTACAACATTGCTTCAACGATCAGAAACGCCACTAGTCCGTTTTTGAGCTTGCTTGGTTTTTTATCTTCTTGCCATCGTCGCACTGTCCGCCTATCTTTCTGTCAGCTTCAAATAATTATGCGTTTTGAACTTTTCGTTTTCACCAAGGAGCTTTGCGGAAAGTTGTTGGAGAACAAGAGGGTGAACAACATGTGTTATTATTTTAGGCACTTTACCAAAACCAAATCATAAAATCAAACATTCATTGAATATTTATTTGTAAAAAACAACAATTAACAAAAAAATAACAAAAAACTGAAACATAACAAAGAGCAAACAACGCGATTAACTAATAGTGTTTAACGGACTGTCATCATCCATTTCGTCATAACTTTGATCGAGGCGAAGTGTAGTCCGCGAAGACAGAAGCATCAAGACGACCCTCTTCACACATTCGTTCCGCGTACTTTTGCGTGTAGCGAGTTGGAAAACGCCTAAAATAAAAAATAAAACCACAAACTACATGAAATAATACGGAGAGGTAATCAGTTGTTGATCAGTGTCGTACACTTTCACCAAATCTTCCACAATGGAAGGGAGAAGCCGCCCTCTTCGCTTGTTGCCATAAATTACACAAAGTCGACTAAACCAAACATAAGTAAAGGTAAAAATAAAGACTTCTACCTGAAAAGTCGTTCAACAGAAACCGAAGATCCGGGGACGCAACACCATTGAAGACCTTTACGAGCTAAGTCCGGTAAAACGCCTTTATGGAGCATCCAAAATTGAGGCAGCGAAGCGCGACACTACCCCACCGCGCACGATAGCTTCATATGTGGTAATCTAAGAATAAGAATAAGTAAGAATAATAATCTAAAAGCAACCTACCTGATCCTTAATTAATGGCGCTGAAGAGGAAAGACTTCATTTGAAACGGTGATGTAGAGGGCACTCCTGCTTCTGCATCACACAATTCGAAATAAAAGCGTAAGTTTTAGCAACGATTTGCAAACCTAGTTCTGCTGACAGGATTGTTTTGACTTTTAACTGCTGCAAAGTTTGAGGATTGAGGTAGGAGCCGACGCATAAATGATCATATACATAAACGATCTCCCAGTAGCACGAAAGCCGAATCGATGCACATATGGGATGAAGCTCAATCAACTCGACGAGATACCTAAAAGAAAATATTATGACAAACCAAAAACCCATATTACCTGTGTATTTGTGTTTCTGCGGATTTGAAAAGTGATATTGTGTTGCTACTATGAAAATCTTCGGCAGAAAGTTAAAAACAAGTTCCACTGCGTACATCCTAACAAAAAACTAACTAGTTTGGTCATCCAATTTGTCACTGAGAGCAACTTTTGGACGATCATTGATAGTTTCATTGTCTTGTCGTCCATTTTTGCGATTGGGCTTCTTTATCTTTAATCTCATCTACAACCACTTTGTCTGCGCTGGCAATCGCTTGTTCTTGGGCTCGGTCTGTGGGTCGATCTCTCATTGCCTTTGAAGATGTCAGTGCCCTCTTTCGTGTTTTTAACATTATGGCCAAGTTGATTGGGCATCATCAATTTGGCGCGAGTTAATGGATTCTTTTGCGTTTCGGCAAGCAATTCCAGCACACGAATGCCACAAGCTCTCTTTTCCTCTTCGCTTCATGCTGCAATTCATGCGCCACCAATTTTATTGCACAGCATGTCATCTTCCTCATCGCGTGTAATGCCGCTACCACAGCCGAGGGCCACTAGAACAATACTTTCTAATGCTCGTGCAGCCGTTCTGGCCAGAAATGTTGATGTGAGAAGATAAATCCCACTTTGTTCGGCCCAAATTTCTCGGATTTTTTCCTTGAGCTCCGGGTTCTTATTCTCCTTCCATCCTTTTGTGTGAAGCTTGGCGACGAGAAGATGGTGAACTGATCGTTGATCGTCTCCCGAGCTGACATAGACTAGCACCTTTTTGGCTATATCTAGCGTGAGGTCGTCTCCTGGGGTCCATTTCTGCCCATCGATGTAGACATAAAGTCGACTCTTTACCACTTCTGCTTCTGCTTTTTCTCGCCACCCGCTCCCAAGGGCACCAAGCGTTCCACGAGTTCATCGGGGTCATTCTCGGCTTGAGACGAAGATTCAGCCAATTGCAACAAAGCCATTGTTCTAAACATCAAGAATTAGTATATAAGAATTAAGAAAGTGAAAAGCAATAAAAAATTAAAAAGGAATAGTAAACTTTAAGGTGCTCCAGCTACAAAAGGATTTGGCGGGGCAGTCGAACAGGAAGTTTTGACTTGTCTGAAGATGTCTGGAAATCGGTGAAATTCTGAATTGAGCTTTCCCTACCGTAATCTTTTGTTTAGATGCGCCTGGTTCAACTCATCCCTAAAGTTTTCCCTACCTTAGCCCATTGGTTTGATACAGGCTAAAGTCCAGCATAGAAGTCAGTCCAGGTCAAGTCATTGGACTAGGTAAGTAATGGTCAGGCAGGTCCAGCCAGGTTGAGGATCAGGAACTAGAAAAAGTTCAGAATTTCGAAAGAGATTTTCCTTCGACTTTAACCTGAAAAAGTTCGTTTTAAAATATTCTTAGATATTGAATAAGACTTTCAACCTTCACTGAATCTGTTCATAGTTTTTATAAGAAGTATGACCCGTTTTTTGTTTTGCTTAAACGTTTGGTTCAGTCCTTGATCTCAAAGTCTTGATATATTTGTTTGGTTCTTTTGTAGACATAAATTTTTCAATCACAGATGATCGAAAAGTTTTATGGCCCTTTTCAAAAGAGATTTGTCCTTGCATCGGTAATGGGTTTGATGCTACTTTTGAGGAAAAGAAAGAGGTAGATGTTTGTTTTGAGGAATTCGAAATGAAATTGAATGCCTTGAAAAGATTTTGTGAAGTTCGAGGTGTATTAAGGAAAGGACTGCCGTAAACTGGCTATATTTTTTGGAGGGTGTAACTGACTTAGAGCTTAAAGGCATCAAGCAGAGTACGGTAGTGGCAGCGTGTCGGACAAATACGGTAGATGGGGTACTGTAGTTGCCCGGGATACTGTAGCCAACAAGGGATACTGTGGTTGCCTTAAAGGAGTACCATAGACAACAAAGAATACCGATTGTAGCTGCCCTTGAAGGGCCTGAGCCTGAACCTGTAACAATTAACCTATGAAATCTCGCGTTTAAGCTTAACCAAGTCATCTTGCAGTCAAAGACATCTTGCAATCATTCACATACCCAAGATAAAGTTTGTGTTGTTGAAAAGTTTTTCTTTTAAATCTTTGAATCAAGAGATTTCTCTCACCTTTCCTCTCAAAAATCGCATCAATCACCCAGCACAAAATTTGTTCAATTTTTTTGGAAAAAGAAAATCTTTTCACATTCTTTTAACATTCTTTTAACCCTCCTCCTTGTCCTTGACTATTTTTGGGGCCAAGAGATTTTTTCAATTTGAAAAGTGACTCAGGAAAGAGTTGGATGAAGAGTTCCGAATCAAAAGAGAAGTGAAAACAGGTGGGAAAGATAGAAATGAAAAGACAGTACAAAAGAGATTCAGTAATTTTTCACTAAAACACATACTATTTCTAATACTTGTAGCACTGTAGTACTTTCTAGGTCCTACAGTACTTCAATAAGCTTAGTTTAGTCAACTTTTCTAATACTCTAGGTCTTACAGTACTTCAATACGCTTAGTTTAATCTATCAGTTTCTAGATATTCGAGTGAAAAGAGCGATTGATGATGAAGACGAAGAGTTTGAGTATTATTTGTGGAAGAAACATTTGAGGAACAAGTGGAGAAGAAGATTGTGAGTGTTTTGGACTCCAAAGTACTTCAATCCTTATTTGAATACTCCAGAAAAAGATACCAGGAAGGGTACTGAAGCAAGGAAAAGGTTCAGTAGCCCTAGGCTTGTTATTATAGAAACAGAACCCTTAGCAAAGTACCCGAACTTCTTTCAGAGAGATGAATAGCGGTGACACGATCATCCACAATCATTATCACATCGATCGACCTACTCCTGTTGTTCAACAACCCGCCTACCAACCCTACTATTATCAACCGAGTTAGTTTTATTTGGCTAAACCGTATTACTTCGAATAAAAGGCTCATAAGATGGATATTTACTGTTTTCAAATTGATTCATGGACAAAAACAAGTTATAGTCAAGCCAATGTCAAGCCTGAGGCACTGGTTCATCTGGTCAGGGTCAGGCTTTTAAATTTTAAAATTTCAAGACTAACAGCCATCACTTGACCTTAAGAGCCTTCTATTCCAAGAAGTAGAGTATTTTTTTCCATTCTTTTGTTCTCACTCACACCTTGCGTTCAGCCTATGGTTACTACAACCCGTATTACCGCTATGGATATTACTATCCGCGTCGTTATTGGCGTAATTATTATCGTTATTATCCATCATACGGTAGCGATAAATGAAAGTGCACAGAAGTTGGATATTCTTTAGGTTACGGTGGATACGGTAATTACGGTGGATACGGCAATTACGGAGGATACGGCGGTGGATACGGCGGTGGATACGGTAATTTGAAAAGATTTCATATATTTGAAAAGAGACGAATTTCAGGTGGAAACGTTTTCAATCTGGGAATGGGACGAGGAATCGGTTAGTTTGGAAAAGTGCAAACAAGTTTTCGAAATGACCGCCATCGGCCTTAAGAAAAGCGCAGATTGTTTTGGGCAATAGTGCGGCGCAAGTAAGCTGGGTCTAAGTCGTCGCATTCCTTGATGAGAGCTTTCTTCAAGATATTCAAATTGTTCGCTGACTGGCTGACTTTAATGAAACCGCTCTAACTGAGCTCCTGTGAATCAACAACAAACAATCAACTCGGGCACCGGGAGAACCACTCAAGGCCTCTCATACAACAGTGGTAACCCACCTCCATTCAATGGGATTTGCTTTGAGATTTGGCGCCTGAATTTCCTATGTGCTCCCAGATGTGATGAGGTTGCAGCGCCTCATTTATTTGAGTTTTAAGAAATATCCTTTTCGCTCTAAATATCTCTCTAAATATAGTTCCTTTTCTTTCTAAATATAGTTCTTTTGCTCTTTTTCTAAATATAGTTCCTTGCTTTTTTGTGAAGCTTTTTACAAAAAGAATTTAGATTCGTGCATCTTCCTCGACCGCACCGTAACTTTTACAAAAGTTACGGTGCGGTCGAGGGAAGATGCACGAATCTAAATTAGAAGGAACTTCTTCTAAAATCAATCAACGAGGGCATAAGCAAAAAAAGCCGGTTTAAAGGTCTACTGGTTTAAAGGCTTGTTCGCTATTTCTCGCTTTCTATTTGCAATGGAACCAACATGTTTGGCACCTAACTAATTACGGCTGTTGTTATGAAAAAGTTGTCTGTGATATTAATGCAATAAATCTATTCAAAAAATTAGCGCTTCTGCATGCGTCGTCGTACGTTCGAATGTTTACGTTTATTGACCAAATTTATGAACCAATTAACTCTAACTCTAAATACGCTCCACGAGAGAAACAAGAGATAGTTTCAGCTGCAAAAATAGATAGAAATAGAAAGAGAAATATAAAGCTAATTGATTACGGTCAATTTCCGATTACGCTGATTCCGATGATCACCGGTAGATTAAGGGATTAAGTGGTTAATGCAGAAAATATTCAAACAATGCGGAATCATCGGTTTCAATAAAATCATCGGTTTCATTTCGAAAAACGACGCTCGATTGTGGCAGGAATTCCTTGGCACTGTTGATATTGAATGTTTAACCCAATCACAGCCGATCAAGCCACTATAGGTGTTTAACGCCTCAAAAATCAAAAAGCACACTATAACTAACTAAGAAATTTTTGTATTTACAAAGACCTATTTCAAACATAAACTCTGCTTCGAAATACTTGAAAAATATTCTTGAAACTTTAATTATGTTCAATTAATATGACCCAGTATTTGTTTTAACCATGACAGGTTTTCAG